AGCAGGAGGGAGGATAATGAGGACGACGAAGAGGGCGTGGAGTGCGGATGGGGAGGTGGGGGGGGGGGCGTATGGGTGGACTCTGGGGGGCTTGGTGGGTGCCCCTGGGGGCCTTGCGTCGTGGGGGGTATCTGGGGGGCCTCGTGGGGGTGCTTTTCGGGGGGGGCCTCGTGGGGAGGGGAGGGGATGCGTCTGGGGAGGAGAGAAAATGCGCAACGAACCTCGTGGGATGCCTCTGGGGGCCTTGGAGGGCCGCGGCGGCCCTGGGGGCCTCTGGGGGCCGAAACCGAGGCACTGGTGAAAGTTACTGGCCTGCCGCTGAAGGGGAACGAGGCGTCAGCCCAGATGCCCTGCGCGATGGTCTGGTAGCCCTAATTCGCAAACCACGATGCCATCTGCAGCCGCGCGCGGCGCGAGGGGCCCACCTCCGCATGCGCCCGACGCGCATCAGCGACCGCGCCGTAGCCGCAGTCGCCCCGCCAGGCGGCGCGCTGCCACACGCCCACGGCGGAGTGCGGCGCCGCGCTGGACCCTGAGCTCGCCGTCAGCATAGCGAGCCAACGCGCCATCGAGCCGCGCGCGGGCCCCCGCCGTGAAGTTGAGGCCCCGCGACAGGGACTCGCGCGGCGCAGCTTCAGCGAATGGTCAAATTCGGCCAGGGTTGCCGCGATTCTGGGGAGCTGCCCAAAGACGTGGCCCAGCGTGGTGAGCGGCTCCCGCTGCTGGGTGACCTTCGCCATGACCGTGCTCGGCCGCGACGCGGGGGAGGTAATTCCGCCGTCGCCCGAGGGCCTCGCGCTGCGGAGCACATGCTTTGGCTGCAGGGGAACGTTCGACAATTATCAGTCGCGCGCCAAACTAGCGCATCCCGCCGCGCGCGCCGCTGGACGCGCTCGGCGCCCCAGCAGTTGAGCGCGCCGCTCGCGCGGTGCAAGCGCGAAACACTTGGCAGGCCAGGCCCAAGGTGTTCATTCGAGAGGCGCCCCTGGCGAAATTGTCGAGGCATTTCGAACGCCGGCCACCGGGGCGCGAGCTGCAAATGTTGTTCTTGACGGCGCACACAATATTCTTGCGCTCGCCGTTAGAAGCACCCCCAATGCACGCGGCTCGCGAAGGCGATTCACCGCGGGTGGGAAAACCGAAGAGCCGCCTCCGCTCGCGAGAGGGGTCGATCTCGCTTAGTTTGCTCTGGCGCAAGAATCGCGCCACGCCGCTCACGATGACGCGGACGCGTCGGTGCGCGCGCTGCAAATCAACGCGCCCCGCGCACCCGCTGGGAAAGTTCTGCGCCGAAAGCGCGTCCTAGCAGCCTTTCGCGAGGTCGTGTCCAGACGTTGTCTTGTCGGCGTTGAGAGCGGCCCTGCAAGAGCTCGGGGCGCCGCGGCGCGAGGCCTATCTCACTCGCGACTTTCGTCGGGGCTGCGCGCGGGACATGGCGGCGCGCGGCTCGCGGCCGGCGGAAATTCTTCGCGCCAGAGACTGGCGGCCCGCCGCCTTCCTGTCACATTTGGAACAGGAGGCACTGGAGGACGGCGCCGCGAGGGAAGCGCGCGGCTGCGATTCGTCTAGCGACGAGAGCAGCGCTGGGTTTTTCTTCGCGCGCCGGCGCAGCAACGGCCCCAGGCGTCGCTGCGCCCGCGCGCCCCCGCCGGGCGCGGCGAGCTACGGGCGCGTCGTTCGCTCGCCCCGTGGGCGCGCGCTCAGCCAACGAGCAGCGCCCCCCGCGCTCTCCCCCCGACCCATCGGAATTCCTTGGGTGGCGCCATTTGTGGGCGAGAACACAACGCAGTTTTGTTCGCTGTCACACAAACGCGAACCTGGGACCCCTTTCCCCCGCCGCCCCGCCGCGGGCGCCACGTTTCGCCGCGGCGCCCGTGGCGGGGCGGGCTGGGCCAGGTTGGGGGGGTGAGTTTTGGTTGGGGGCTCGCCGGGCGTCGCTGCGCCCGCGCGCCCCCGCAGGGCGCGGCGAGATACGGGCGCGTCGCTCGCTCGCACTGCGGGCGCGAACCTACCCAACGAGCTGCGCTCCCCGCGCCCCCCCAACCCATCGGGATTTCTGGGGTGGCGTCTTTTGTGGAAGCCATCTTGGCCGCATAGGATTCATTTTCGGGCCGTCTGCGTGGCCATCTTGAACCAATTCTACCGTCTTGGAGGCACATGTGAAGCAATAGTGGAGCCATCTGTAGCAGGAAAATATTTGCAACCACCTCTCGAGCAGCTGTCCGGATAGCTGGCGGCATCGGCCGAAGCCTAGAAGTTTAGCGCGCCAGGCGCCCTAGGGGGCGGAGGTTCTAGCGGGCCTCCAGCCTATCCCGCCAGTGTGCTTGGGTTGGACGTAGGTCAGAGGCCTCCTGGATGCCTGTGAGGATCTCCTGGGAGGCCTTTTTCGGATGCCTTCTGGAGTTTTTTTGTTCAGAGCGTTTTGGGGACCTGATTTTGGTCTCAGGCCTTTGGGGGCCTCTTGGACGCATCTCGGGGGCTTGCGGGGGGATCTTGGGCCCGTCGTGGGGCGGAGGGTTCAAGATGTCAGTTTGCGTTCCCCATATTGGGCCTCTCTTGGGACCGTCTTGGGGGCCTCTTGAGGGCTCGTGGGCTGCTCGGGGGCGATATTCGGTGCATGTTTGGGCGTCTTGGACTGAAGAGGCCGTATTGCGAAAGCCCGGAAAAAAATGGTTTTGACGATTTGGGCCTCTCGGGCCGCCTTCCAGGGCTTCCAAGACGGCCCAGGAGGCGCCCAAAAGGGCTACGGGACGGTCCCTAGGGCCATCGGAAACCACGTTTGACACGCATGTCCCGAACAACGCGGTTTTGACGTCTCGGAAAATCACGCGGGGACCCCCCGACAGCGCGTGAGAGCGACAGGGAGCGCCGGCAATTTGAGCGATGGACATCTTGAAAAACATTTGCAGAACTCGATACAGAGAATTCAAAAGGACCTGGGGACACTCCAATTCGTGCCTCGGGGGGCACGGCACCGGATATCTATGTTTATGAGCATGATGGGGCGTATGGCGGTGATGATGTGTTGTCCCAACGAATAGTGGACGGTTGCCTACGACAGCGTTGACGGGATGAAGAGGGCGAGTACACCCTTTTCGAAACGTTCTAGGGGGACGCGTGGTTCAAACACGGGCGGTTTCTGCCCTGGTGTCCCGCTCTTCCCCCAACGTCCCCGCAGGTTTCCACAGTTTTCGTTCAAGTTCTTTCCGTTTCTGCACGAATCCAGCCAGCATCACAATCACAGTTGCTGCATGTGATTTTCTCCCAAACGGACAAGTATATGTGTGTGTGCCAAGGTTCCCACCATGTCACTCGAGATTTTCCGCGGGCGTCTGCAGTTCCCGTGTGTTGTCCGTTTTCTCCATGGAAGCCATTCGCAGGGATTTTCTTTTCTTGTTTGGGGTGTGTTCGAAAAAGTTTTCGGGGCCATTGCGCTCACTCGCATTTAGCCAAGGAAGGATCACAAACAATGCATAGTCCACTCTCACCCGTCTGCTGGGGCCGCCCTCTATCGGTCTGAAGGCCGTGAGCAAGTATTGCCCTAACGTTTCTTGTATCTCTTGGGACTTCATTGCGAGGTCCCTGGGCCATCGTGAAGCCACCATGGGGCCAATTCGGATTGTTTGGGATGTCATATCGGGGAGACGCGGAGGTCACATGGGACAATATTGTGAATCCGATCGGCATCGCCAACGTGACTTCACCGCAGTCTTCGATTCGAGAAGGGCTTGCCAGCTCAGCCTTTCGGTGCTGTGGCTGGACACTGTTGAAACATAATTTCAACAGAGTTTAGAAAGGGTTGAAGTAGAGTTTGCGAGGTGTTCTAGACTTTCTACAGTTGCCTTCAAAGTACAAACTCAACACTGTTGAGCCCATAGAGCATACAACGGCGGGCCCCCGAACGGGAAACGAGCGCGCAGAAATCCGACTGAGGAGCTTCATAGGGGCAAACGAGCGCTCCAGGCCGTGGCATCGACGCGCGTGTGCTGGAGAACTCGGGGCGCCTTCTCGGGGGGGGGCCCTCTGGGAATCGTCTCAACGCCCTCTTGAGGCTCTTAAGGGCCCTGTTCCTCTTCGGGCCCTCTGTGGTGCTCGTGCCGGAACACTCTGGGCGCCTTCTCGGGGGGGCTCTATGGGAATCATCTTAACGCCCTCTTGGGGCTCTGAAGGGCCTTGTTCCTCTTCGGGCTCTCTGTGGCCCCAGAAGCCCCTGAGACTTATGAGGCCCTGCCAGGCTCCGCTCTGGGCGTCACTCTTGCTCGTAAACCTCTTGGGACAACCTGGGCTGTCTTGGTCTAGATTGGGCCACTTTCGGGCCAGATTGAGCTGGTTTTAAGTCCTAGAAGAGAAAATGCGACACGAATTGGTGCATTTCGTCACGTCCCAACTCCCCCCGTGCCATCTTCTCTACTCCTCTTTGTTCTTCCAACTCATCTCTACATCTTTCCTCCCCCTTATTCACACATACAAGCACAAACGCAAGCGCACGCCGATGCATGAATGTGCGACGCACCCGCGCATACAAACAGTCTTACGCACCAGCACGCGAACACCCAGAAGCCACCCAGACGCAAGCGGCCGTACACGCAGCATGCGCGCGCCCGTCCTCTGCACATGGGTTGCGAGCGACGATCGGCGGCCAGGCTGCGGCATCGTGGCTTGCCCACACGGCCACTCGTCCCAGCTCGGGTGCCTTTGCCCTGCCACGGCACGGCTTGGAGGAGGAGGAGGGGGACGAGGGCCTCTCGGGAGTCTCTTAGATGCTTCGTGGGTACCTGGACAGCCTGGACAAGGGGACAGCCACTACTCGATGGTGCATTGCAGCTTATACCGTGGTCTAATGTGCCGGTGCCCCCCTGAGGTGGCGAGTCACATATGCAGTACGCCGATATTGGCTGAACCCCACGTGCACAATCTGATAGGCATTGCGGCTGGTGCTCATTGCGCAATTCGAACAAGGGCGACCAATGTAACATTTGATGGCCTCGGCATACTTCCAGCCGACGCAGTGTCGAATCCGATCGATGATGGGGTGTCGTTGCGGTTCGTATATCCCTGTTCGTTATCTGTCCAATTGTCTTCACGCTTCTCTGTTCATCGGTGGCCGTCTCACCCACGCTCCTAGTTCTAGGGCAGTTACGGTCGGGAACTGTTGGTCAGCGTGTCGCTCCGCTGGTTCTGGCCCAGCATGCTTCGGCGTGACGCGCTAGCCATTTCCCAGTCCCCAGGCATCAGCGTTCCGAGCTTTTCCAAGCGTCTCGCACCGCGGAACGGAGCGACACGCTATCCGTTCGCAGGGCACAGCGTGTGTCGCCAGGGCCGCCGACGCGACACGCTAAGCAAAAATTCCTGACCGTAGGCAGCACCACGGCGCAATAGGCCGTCGGCCATCAGGTCTGTTTGATTTGTTGTCCCTCATGTGCGCCTTGAAAAAAAGCGTACCTAGTTCGAACAGTTTGGATCTGGCAAAGACGCAAAGAGCTACGTCAGAGCTCCGAACCATCAGGGCTGGAGGCGGTCAGGCATAGCTACAGTTTCGCGCCTCAGGGGCCCAAATCCGAGTTACCCCAGACAGCAGATATCCGGGATAATTCGGGCGTTCCCATCGGCAATCGCTATTGCGGCTGCGTCGGTTGTGCCAAACAAATTGGCCGCTCTGCGCACGGGCTTGCGCGCGCTAGCGCAGCCGCAGATGTGCGCAAACCACTGACAAGTAGTGACCACTATCGCGGCCGCATGGACTGCAACATAAGTTTCGGGTGGGAATTGGATGATTGCGCGAGCAGTGGAGTTGACGACTTCAAGTTCTGCAAAGTGGATTGCGTCCCATAGATTGCACCAGATGGATTGCACATCACGAGTGCGCGGGCCTACTTTTGGGGGTCCGCGCTGGCAGACATGCTCCTCGAAAGAGGAAGGGAAGGACGAACAGGAGAAACGGGTGAGGGCAGAACCTAGCATCTTCACGGCCAACGTCCACGGCATTTTGCCCTCGTGGAAAGTGCCATGCAAACGATGCGTGAACGCAGAACTGACCTGTATTGCCTTCATTTGCGTAGTTAGACACCCGAGTTATCCCGGACAACTGCGGTCTAGGGTAACTCTGGTTTGGGCACCGGAGGCGCGAATCTGCAGCTATCCTTGACCGCCTCCAGCCCTGATGATTCGTGAGGGACAAAGATAGTGTCAATGGTGGTGGCGATGATGGTGATGACGACGGCAAGGCCAATGATGGTGCCGATGTTGGTGACGACGATGATGATGTTCATGTGTCGCCGATGAAGGTGGTTGAGTGATGACGGCGACGGTGTCGGCGACTGACGACTGCGATGACGGCGGTTCTGCAGTGGCATTGATGAGGGCGACGGTGGGGAAGTTCGCGCGCGGAAGTGTAAGATGTTCGGCAAATTGCTTGTTGGAAAAGAGTTCGTTGTTCATGTGGGTTTGAAAAGATACAGCCGGACCGAGGTATAAGATCGGGGTCGGCTCAGGGAGGGTAGTTACCCTAATGGTCCTCGTGTGTGGTAGATGCTCTCGTGCGTCCTCGGGAAGGTGCCCTAGGATGCTAAGCTTGTTTTGGCCGACGGAGGGTCTGGTATTCTTGAGGGATGCTCTTCTGGCCTAGGTCCGACTGTATGTTGACATTTGTCGCACAGTAATGGCGTTGGACAGATTTCGGCGTGCGCGTGGCGGCGCGAGCGCGTCCGGCCCACGTGGTACCGTTTGACACGGACCAGCTCGCTGTGCTGATGCTGGGTCACCGCAGGTGCCACGCGTGGTGAGACGAGAATGCGGCTTCTGGACGAGATTGCCAAAACCTTGGTGTGTTTTCTGGTGGGTGGCGCATACGCGCGGGCAGGAAACCTGCAAGACATTCGATGAACGACCGAAGAGTTATTGCGTGTTCATTGTCAAGTGCTTGCAGAATTGTTGTGTGTGATTTGATTTGGGCATGTGCGTCCGAGTGTGAACTTTGCGCCGTTGTTTTGCGAGGTGCCCTTCAACACCTAAATCTTGCGATGAACGAGCGCACGCGCATGGTGTTCTTTGACAGAGATGAAAGGGTGGTCGGTACCAGTCGGCCTGGGATGGCATGAACTCATATGGAACATGAGCGATGGGGCACAATCATATGTAATTTGCCGTGTCCGCGGGGTGGGGGTCGATAGCTTGCACGATCGTCAAGAGGAGGATGCATCGAGACCCAGTCCTGCCAGACTGCAGGGCATGCGCGGGTAAGGCGATAGGTCATGCTGCAAGATATCGAAGACGGATAATCCCAGGTCCGCTTTGCGGTCCATCGGAGTGCTTGCGACATAGTCTCCAGGCCCTCCACTGACTCCCTGCTCCTCTCTGCGTGCTCCTCCCGGGGCTCTCGTGCCACAGTCACGAGGAGCTCGGGGCCCTTTGCCGGCGCCGCTGATGTGAGGGCTGTATCAAACAACTGACCATTTTTGGAGGTCACGCCCACATTCGGAAATTGGAACATATACATTACCAGGGGCGGCTTGTTTTTTCAATCCCAAGACTTTTTGAGGGTCGGGGGCGACGTCGGGGTGGTGTGGTGTATACTTATTCCCCGTCTTCCAAGGGAAACATCGAAAAAGGTATGCACCAGGATCCCGTATACACCAGTATCCGCGTTCTTTTGCGAATTTCGGCGCAGGGTCGGAAAAAGCGTCGGTGGATAGAGTTCGTTTCCCTAAACATGTGTGTTTTGTTCCCCTGGGACGGGTGCGTCGAAGACGTTGGGTCCACAAGCTGCGCTGACGGAGGCAGTGTGAGCCCAGGTGCGGGGCAGAGAGCCGGCGCGCGGCCAGTGTCCTTGGATACATTGGATGGTATTGTTCACGTTGTGTTACATCTTGGTTGTGCACGTTCCCTTGCACCAGCCCTGGAGGTGGGAAGGCGACTGCCCCGAATGTGGCCAGGTAGTAGCGCACGAAAGCGAAGAAGGCGGTTCGGCGTGTCTGGCATGATGAGGCGCATGATGCCCGAAGGCGACGGGGAGCTGGAACTTGAGCGGTCGACGCGGGGCAAGAATGAGAAGCCAATGCGATCGCTGAAGGGAGCCGAAGCTCCGCTGCCCATTAGAGATATGGATGTAGAAAGGTGGATGGTTTTGTATTAGAATACAAAGAAGGCGTGTGTAAGACGGGTATAAGGCGGGCGCGCTAGGATCGATCCCTTGAGCCAAACGCCTAGGGGAACACTGTAGCAGACCAGGCAGGGCAGTGGTGAGACCCGATGATCGGGAGCCATGTCTCTCCCTACCCTGCTATCCCGCTAGGGGGGCTACCGTTCGAGTCTCCTCCTTCTCCTCCTCCTCCTCCTCCTCATCATCATCATCATCATCATCATCATCATCATCAAAGCCGCACTGGCTCTTTCCAGCGACGGCACGGCTCCGCGCGTCAGACCGAGCCCCCTTCGCTCGCGCCTGCCATGAGCCGCCACGGGAGCCGTGGGGTCGCGCGCCCATGATTGGTGCGAAAGGTCTCCTCTGTGCGCTCCCCGTGCTCGCGCACAACGTGGGCAGTCTCCAGCCGTCGAGACTTCAGGAGCTGAGCCTGGCGTACCGCAGCGTGGCGGTGGGAGGCCTGACGGGCACACGCCGACGACGACCACAGGCATTCGCACGAGGTGATCCTCGACCAGTACACACGAGAGAGCACGCCGTACCACAGCATCATCCACTTCCCTTGGCAACCTGCAGCATGCACGAACAAGAGCGCGGGTTGCAGCATCATCTTGGGCGAGCGCATCAGGAGCACATCAGTTACAGCCATCGAGGTGCCGCCCAACATCGTCGCGGGCAGAGGTGGCATGATTGACATTGACCAGGGACCACTTTGTCTACGCGTGGCAGTTCTGTACTTCGAGCCACGCCCTCGCACTGCGAAAGCTCGACCGAGCTGGCGCAAAGGTTGTCAAGTACTTCGACAGTGGTTAGACACATTATTACGCAACTGCCCGTATCGTCGAGTACCCCTCATCATGATGGACGCCAACACTGGCATGGGCATGCGCGGGCAGCAGATCTACCAGGACGAATGCATCGGCCCTTTTGGCAACGGCAATGAGAACGAGAACGGGAAAGCTCTGCACGACCTGCTGCTGGACCACGACATGGGTGCCGTCAACACCCACCGCAAGGTGGGCCCCACCTTCATCGGCCACAGTGGAGCGACGACGATCGACTTCATTTTCATCCCGTCTTCTCTTCTGGCGGAATCCACGTGCAGGCGCTGGCTCACCACGGCGAGACGTACTCGCAAGAGCAAGTATTTCTTGGACCACATCCCCATCGTTGCACGCCTACTGTTACCCTGCCCTGGACACGGTCAAACTACTCGCAGCAACTGGAGCTGGCCTAAGATCATGGGCTGCCTCCAACAAGGACATGGACGTGAGCCCTTTCTTCGTGATCTCCGTGAGAAGCTTGAGCAGTACCAAGTCCAGTTTCAAGAGGCACGCACCGACCCGAACCCAGACAGACACATGTACCTCTTCGTCGCCGTTTGCAGGCAAGTCGCTATTAAGCACTTTTCGCTGGCGTCTGAGCGGCCGCCCTGGCACAGAGAAGCGACGAGGCGAAGACTGGACCTGCTCAAGGAACTGGCCATCGCCAAGCGCTCAGCCTTCCACGCCGACGCTCCCGACGCAGCACGCGACGAGGTGAAGGCACTCACCAAAGCACTGCACGCACATATTAAACGTATACGAGCTGAAGCTGACCGCGACCTCGAACAGCAGATTCGTGAAGGATGGGCTCACCGCAAGTTGGCAGATATGCACTCGGCTGCGCGAAGGAGAGCACACAGGGGCATCGGCGTTCGCAAACGGGACTTTCGGTCACTTCCGTCGTGCCAACCGTCCAAAGACGAATGGATTGACGTCCTTTCTTTACCTGGCTGTGACGGAGGGTTTTCTGCTAGTTTACTTCACGACGACGACATCCTACCAGCACTTGCAGTCGCGCACCGCCCCGACGAACCAATTGCACTACCCCCGCGGCCCGAAGGACCCTCGGTTACGATAGGCATTCAAGAGTTGTTCCTTGGCCAAGATGATTTCTTCGAGACTCGCAAACATTTATGGAAAATGAAGAGGCGCAAATTCGCACCATGCTGGAGTTTACCTACGGAGATATTCCTCATCATGACCAACCCGTGCATCCTTAGCAAACCAGGAGCGCAGACGGCAGGGTTGGGACTATTCATGGCTTTCGACCCCATAGATTTCGAGAACCCGCCCGACCCCTCTAAGAGAAAGCTGCCCCTGGACGGGTACACTCAGGCATCGAAGATCCCCACTGATCTACATGCGCATGCTCGTGCCACTCTTGCCACACCCAACCAGGCTAATCTGAGCCAGACGTCCGCTTTGGACAAGAGGAAAGCCATCCCTGGACCACCTGGCCTTCGTCTTCTCCATTGTTTCTGCCCATGGTG